TTGCCTATAAAAGGATATTGGCCTGACTAGCAAGCAAACATGTAAGTTAAATGAGCTTTAGATGTTGTAATAGATAAATATTGTTGCCTTTAGGCAGAGAAGTATACAAATCTCTCCTAAGATAAGCAGCTCCTGGCCAAAGCTGCAGGGACCAAGCTAAAAAAAATGCTGTGAAGTAAAGACACTGCATACTGCTTTTGTATAATTACTTTCTCTACACCACTAGTAACCTACAGCTAAATAAGTATGACATGAGAGTTGTGTTGTTGCGCACCACCAATGCTTTTTTCAGGGTTTTTGTAGCATTTGTCAGCGGCATAGAGCCCAATCAGTGGCCTCCTTCCCACTCACACTGCACTGACTAATGCAGTGTTATTGCTTCTGACTGCCTGTGAGTCCTCAAGTGCGTCTGTAAAAACGGTCAGTGGCGTCTGAAGCACGTCATCAGCAGCTCCAGAGAGGCCGCTGATGAAAACGCTGGCAGCGCTCCGCTTTTCTCCCTGCGTCGTATGAAAGGAGCCGTTAGTCAGCCTTAAAGAGCCACACAGCTATTAATAGACACATAGGCTGCCTTTTTTTTTTTCCAGGAGAACAAATTTGAAGCCAGCCCAACAAAATCCCCCTTTCTCTGCTCATTTCCTCCCCACCCACTACTCCGCATAGAGCCGTGTACTGTGACAAATCGGTAACAAAATGTATTTTTAGCCCTCAAGCAAACCACAGTCGCTTTTATTTATACTGTAATGCATGCAAAAAGTTAACATATAGGCTCAGAAAGCCTTAATGTGAGATTATACAGCAGCCTCGCTGAGATGACCTCTGAATCATTCATTAATTATTAGCTCAAACCAGATTTCACACATGACTAAGCCAGCTGTAGTTTTTGTGTAGTCTGTGTGAAACGCAGGTAAGATAAGCTTAAAAGGAATGTTTTAGCTGTTGTTTTGTCACTCATTACAGAGGCATGCACAAATGATGATTGACAATTAATTAGGCAACTATTATCAAAGATAAGTGTAACACTACTGTAATGGGGTATCTTTATGACAGGTGGTTTTAGCCCGCTGTATCAGGATGGGGCTGCAGAACTAACTGCTGACTGTCTGGGTCCAGTAGGTCAAAGGTTGGGGAGGCAGATCAATGATATGAAGGTTGTTGGTTTGAGGTCACATGCTGGCTTCTCTCCTCTCCCTTGCTTTAATATATAGCAACTGTAATTTTATTAGAGCAGATAATGGGTGGGATTTTCACAAGCAACAAGCAAGCGTGTGGACTCTCAGGAGGGGAGGGGTTTGGTTGCTTCAGAGCTTTGGGCGTTTCGAAATGTGGAAGTGGGTGACTTTACAGGCCGGCAGGAGGCTGCCCACCCAGTATGAAGTTAAAACAGGACTGGCAGCTTTTTCCCTGTGTCGCAACCGGCTGGGAGAAAAGCCACCGCCCACCCGTGTTTGCGTTTTATTTCGGTAAATGTCAGATGCAAAGTAAAAGAGCCGTTAATACATTCTTACGCCATTTCATCCGTTTTGGCTTCTGGTTTAAGTGACACCTTATGAATGAACATGAAAAAAATAAAAGGCTTTGCTGATTTGTGAGCAGGAGAAACTTGACGTGACCACAGCTTTAAAATAAGAGCCTCACGGCATGTTGTGGAGCGTAAATCAAACAGAATAATTAGGTGTTGTTTGCTTGTGGGTGAGTAAAAAGCCTCTCCTGACATCGACCATCATTACACAATCATATGTTTTCCACAGGAACGCAACAAGCTCCCGTGGAAAACATATGATTAATGGAAGATAGACTCCAATCCTAGCAAGAATAGCAGCAACAGTATGCACAAATACTTGTTGCCACCTAATTTACTGTGTCAAAATGTCTAAATCCACTACTAAACTAACGCATGTGAAATAAAAAAATTCATCTTCCTTTGAGCTCCCATAGAGCAGTAGAAATCCAGTGCTCAATACTCAACTGTCAAGTACAACTACCCTGAAACTGCAATTAATTACAGCCCTGAAGTATAATAAATGCACATACTCAGTGTTTGTATCACTGTGAATAATAAGGCTGTTAAATTCCAGTAAAATATCACTCAGAGGGGCTTCAGCAGACTTTGCCCACTGGCTGTGGGTATGCATTTGCTGACATGGCTGTTGAAACTCATCGTTTAGCAGCTGGTGTCAGAGAGTGATCTAACCCATGTGGTATTTTCCCTGAACCACTTCTGTTTTTATGAGCGAATGCCATTGTGAGTTTGACGAAGGGGGATGCTTGAATCGGGGGGAAATGCATTTCACAGCTTTCCACGGGGAGCTCTGATTCAATTCTGTCAGCGTTTAACAAAAAAACATTCACTTCGTGTAGTGAAATAAACGCAGTACAATAGCAGAGAAAGAACATAACAATGAAATGGTCCCCTGTGAGAATGCACTTGGTGAAAGTGGGAAGGAAGAACATTTAACAGGAAGAAACCTCCAGCAGGGCCGTGTTCAGGGAGGGGGGCAGCCATCTGATTGGTGATTGAAGGAAAAGGGAAGAGGGTGGAGTAGCATAGAGAAACCATGAAGCACACACAGGAGAGAGTAGACAAACATTAATAACATGCAGCAGAGGCATAACTGTTATCAAAATGAAAGTTTAAAGCCAAATCTTAAACTACAGAAGGTGTAAGCTCGATTCAACCTGAGAGCCGGTAACACAGGAGAGCAGCCTGACAGCTGAAGACTCGCCTCTCTTTGTACTTTGTACTTTTCAGGAAGCAACTCTTAAACCGATTATTGTCTTAATTGCAGCATGACGATCCTTAATCTACTCCAGACTTTCATAACGCTCCCACTGAGATGTCGAAGGCGTTTTCAGTTCCTCTAACTCTGCTCTCTCTCTTTTTTGTAGGGAACTTTATTCTGTTTCTCAACCTTCGTCCTGTGAGAACCAGCATAAAGTCATGAGATCATCATTATTTCTGGAGCTGTGGTTCACAGTTTGATTACATGTCCGCACTCTGCATCATCACATCTGAGCCTAATTTAACCCCGTCTGCCCGCTTCTGTGAATTATTTTTTAGCTGACCTTAAAAAAATAAATAAAATCTCATAAGTTTTGTAGACTATGATTTAAAAAAATAAAACAAATCCTCCATCCACACGCTGTCACCCACGCAGAGGCCGCTGTTATGTATCAGCAGTGGGTGTTGAACCACGCAGACTCGCTGCCTGCTGCTTTAATGCGTCTGTGGATGAATCTAGTGTACTTTAGTTTGATTCTGTGAAACTAGAGGAGTCACTGTGACTGCACTGAGAAGAGCAGCACCCACAGAGATGGAGCTACAAGCCAAACTCCAAAGCCTCCTTTTGCCCCCTAGAGGCTAAACGGAAAAACATTTACTTGCTGATATTTCCGTTGTTTGAGATGGAGCTAAATTATCCTGTTGGTCCTAATGACCCTGAACATGTAAAGTTTGATAAGTTGAAAGTTTTTGCCTTGATTCGTTGTAGAGGCCAGGCTGGATTAGCAGCCAAGGAAAACAGGTAATTGTCCTGGAGCCCAAAACTCTCTGAGCTCCCCCATGGTCAATGTTTACTTTGCAGCAATTACCTTTTTTAAATCTATATTTTCAGCTTTGATTTGTGGTGAACTTGTGCGAAAACATGGACCTTTAAACTGCTGTACAGTATGCAAGTCTTTGATGGATCAAGCATCCTCCTACATTAACTGAAATTAATAGCAAATCCTGCAGGGGTAGCAGGTTTAATCCAACAAAGAGGGAGGAAAATGCAAGTGATTGAGTGAGGCTGCCGTGCATTTGTAGAGCTAATAAATGTAAAGCTGAAAGGAGACGGAAGGTGTTGAGCCAAAAAAGTGATATCTGATGTTTCTGTGTGTTTTTCATGTGTAAATCTTTGCTTATATTAGTAAATAGATTGTAGTGAACAGGGTTTAGATAATAGGATATATATAAAATAATGACCGGTTTTGCAAGTATCTTTATGGCTCTGCGTTATAGTAAGAGATAAGATACCTTTATTAGTCCCACGAGTGGGAAATTTCATGTTAAGGCTGCCGGCCAATTGCCCGCAATGGCGGCGCCATCTTACCCTCCGACCATACATACATTACACAAAACATCACATGGGGAAGACAGGTCAGAGAGGTATAACAATGGAAAATGCACCACACGAGGAAAGATAAGGAGAAAAAAATAACTCCCCCCAGACTGAGCTCCAACAGGGAGATCAGTTTGAGAACAGAAAAAAACACCTCTGCACATAGCACATGAAAAAACTCTTAATACACCAAAGAAACACATGACAAGCAACAGGGGTGGGTGAAGGGTGAGAGACAGCCAGTGTAGACAGTGCATCCGGGCCTGCAGCACATGCGCTGGTCTCCTTGATCCACCGTCAGCATTGGAAGGGAATAAGCGTCGAAGGCATTTGGAGGGGGGGATGAGTGTATATCTGCATGTGTATATATGCGTCTGTGTGTGTGTGTGTGTGTGTGTGTGTGTCCAGAGTTCAGCTGAGACAGTGTCCTTCGCCCTGCCGAGCTAAGTAAACAGTCTTCCAGCCAACCCAGGTGGCCTTGCGTAGGACAGGAAGAACAGTCAAAGCACAGTAAATGAGACATTGAGTCTCAAAGGAACTACCTGTACAAAATAAGGTTCAATAAAAAATAAATATTGTTCCTACATGATAATCAACCCAGTGCTTTTTGGCCACTTAAACCATCTGTATTTACCTGCCTTCTTGGAAGATCTCTTTATAAAAAGACACTTTTAATATCGATAAGACTTTTTAGCTGAATAAATAAACATGACTGGTGCTATTGTGTTGTTTGAGGCTCAAAATGATTTGATATGATTGACACGTTTCACAGATTAGTGAAAAGTCATTTATAACAGTTTAAATACGGGAAAACACTTCAAGGGGAACCGGTGTATGCTTTTTACGCTGGGGCCCCCTAGAGGATCCCTCTGGCCCCTGCAGGAGGCATAGGAACACCAATAAAGCGAAAAGGATGCTGCTCTTGAAAGCATCCGGAAGCAATCTCTTAAACGACTGCAGCTAAAGCCTGTTAATGGACGTCCTCTAATCCTCGGGTGCACTTTCCAGTCCGCAAGAGGAGCTGACTCACTCCCCTGTCACCTCCTACCTGGAGGAGGGCGCTCTTTATTCAGTTTCCATCCTCCGTGGAGAGGCTGTGGCGTGCTGGTCCAGAGCTGGGTACTTCTCCAAGTGCTCGTCATCCGTGCTCCGACAGGCCGGAGCAGCACTGTGAGCATCACCGCATCACATCCACTCGACATGGACTTCTCCATCCGCGCGGCCAACCTGGACGACTGCAAGGACATCGCGCGGATGATCATGGTGAGCGGACACGTGCACGTGCGCGCGTGCGGTCCAGCTGTGTGTATGACTCCGAGGACATTATTAAGTAGCCTGTAGTGGCTTACGTCAGCAGGGCTTTTCATAAACACGGTGTTGCTGTTATTATTAGATTAGTGAGATATTATCGGATGAACTGTGCTCGTCCTGCTCGTTAGTTTCAGGCTAATAAACTGCCTGTAAATGACATGTTTACTACCAGCTGAGCAACACTGATGTCTGGGATGTCCTAATAAATGATGGCAGCTGATGCTATTTTTGTTTATGTCCAGGAACTGGCAGAGTATGAGAAACTGGCAGAGCATGTGAAAGTGACCCAGAAAGGTAATGTATGTAGCGATGTCTCAAGTTTCTGCCTTGATTTTATCCGTAATGCTTAATAATGATTAAGAGTGTGTGGTTATTATAATGTAATTTATAAACTTGGATATAAATGTTTGGTCTTGCTTTATAGGCACATATATAAATATCTTTAATCACAAATAAATTATTACATCGAGTAAAACCACGTTATTTGTTTTGGTATCATTTAGAAAGTCTGGGTAAATTAATTAAAGTTTTTAAAAGCAGCTTTATACACATACAGATTTGTGAGTGTGTTAATGGAGCTTTTATAACTACTTATGTCAGATTTTAATCCATGTTTAATTCAGGCAGTTGTCATTAGTTCAGTATTTTGTGTCACCACATCTGTTGTGAGGACCATCTATACTTTACAAAGGATTTATAAATGCCTGAAAAGGGGAACTTCAAGACTCAGTCTTTGGGAACTTTACAACACAAAAAGTCAAAAGAACTTTTTATTCAAAAATGGGGCGACTGTGGCTCAAGAAGCAGAGTAGGTCACCTACTAATCGTAAGGTTGCTGGTTCAATCCCCACCTGCTCCAGTCTGCATGCCAATCAGTTGCTCTCTGATGCAGTGTGAATGCTGCAGAAAGCACTTACATAGAAAAGCAGTGCTTGTATGAATGGGTGAATGAGGCAAGTTGTATAAAAGTGCTTTGAGTGTTCAGTTAGAGTAGAAGTAAGAACCAGTCCATTTACCAACATTGCTCATTTAATATTTGCAGAACATCAAAATGTAAGTTGGACCACAGTCTGAGATTGTAGAAGAGAGAAAGAGACTTACTGAGAAGCGAGAGCCACAGGGTATTTTAAACCAAACATATTGAAGTTTCTTTTCATTTAAAACCAACATCAATAAGGTTATCACAAAGCAATAGTGAATATATCACAGAGCATCACAAACAAGTGTAAACACCATAAACAAAGCATCCATCATATTAATGTGTCAGAGTCCCCGGGCTCTGTTTATATTTTAGTTGTCTTCTGGGCTTTGCATTATTGGGTTATCATCATTTGTGGTCCCTGTCTGTTCTCTAGTCATGTCTCCATGTCTGTGTACACTATGTTTGTGCTCCGTCTCTGCGGTTGTCTAGTCTCCCTGTTAGTTGCCTCAAATGAGTCTTGTCTCCTTAGTCGGTCATGTCTCTGTGTTTGTTTGCTTTTCTGCGGCAAGTCATTATGCCTTGAGTCTGGGTTTCTGTCTCTGTGTTTATGTTTCCTGTCTCATTTTGTCAATCTCTCATCCTGTTCAGTTTCACTTCCTTTGGTTCTTTAGATGGATTCTGTTCAGCTGTGTTCCACAGGTGTCTCCACTCCATCACTCTGCCCTTTGTCACCTCGTCCCTCATTCCCTCTTGCTGTATGTCCCGTACGTTCAATGTCTCCTGTGTAGTTTCCTAGTTAGTAAACTAGCATCCTAGTATCTGCTTAGTTTGGGTTCTTTTGTATTTTTGATCCCTGTGAATCCAGCAATAAACCTAAATTTTGAGTTCAGTGTCACTTCTGAGTCCTAATCTTGCCAGCTACACAGCAACATATGACATAATTTGAGAATGCAGGAAAATGTTTTCTGTCTTTTAGAATTACTTCTGTTCATTCCTCAGGTTCAACTTTCCTCTCGTTTGCAGTTAGTTGTTGTCAGTTAGCTATCTTTAGTCAGAGAAGTGCTCCTGAATTAGACACATAAGTTGTCAGCTGCCGAGCCTGTAGAGGTCTATGTGTCCCCCCTTGGCTATAGCCCCCGAGATGAGCACTGACCACAACCAAACCAAGCCAGTCACACTGAACAATGTTACAGGCAGAAGAACACTCTCCTCAGCTTCACCAGACTCTTTCACATCTGTCACATGTGCTCAGGGTGAACCTGCTCTCATCTGGGAAAAGCACAAGGTGCGAGTGGTGGACCTGCCAATACTGGTATTCTATGGCCAATGCCAAATAGAGGCCATTGAACCCTCAAGCCTTCCTTGTGAAGTCTGTTTGTGATTGTTTGGTGAGAAACATTCACATCGATTACCTGCTAAAGGTCATTGTGCTGCTCTGGCATCCTGTTCCACTTTGCACAAAGGAGCAGTTCCTGGTCCTACTGATGGGTTAAGGGCCTTCTATGGCCCTCTTTAGCTCTGCTAGTTGTTGTGGATGTGAAAACTACCAAAGGAAGTGCAATGAGAATAAATACACAGAGTATGTAATGTGGACTTTATCGTCCAGATGAAAAACTCTTCTAACCAAAAAATAAAGTTTCTGTATCAAGTATAGTTTGGTGTTCAGTTATATTTATCTAAGCCCAGTAGATTTTATCACACTATAATAAAGTATTTGTCTGTGAGCCATTTGTTTCTACCACCAGGTAACAGCTTTTCCCAGGAAGCTTCATTCTAAAATTAGGAATTATGGACCTTTGAGGAAAAACCATTGCACTGTATTTTCCAACAAAAGGTCAAGAACTGGTTTTAAAGCTCTCTCTTAGCTAAGATTACATTTTGATAAAAAGCCTCAAACTGTTAAATGTAAACTGAATTTCCCCTTGTGAAAACACCGTGTAACAGTATCTATAATTTCTTTTCAGACTTGGAGCAGGATGGCTTTTCCAAGAACCCGTTCTTTCACGGGATCATCGCTGAGGTGCCAGAACAGCACAAAACCAAAGAAGGTGATCATGTTACGCTCAGTTTTCTCACACACTGTTGCGATCTACTGTCTAACAGCTGTAACCCGGTTACTGACACAAACTTAAAACTGATGGGTGACGACCCGCTAACAGTAACAGAACCTTACCAACGGAGAGAGCGAGCAGGAGAAACAAAAAGGAAAACTCAGGAGTGAACTGTAGAGGTATATCAAGTAAAGCCAAAAGGTCAAAAACTAAGCTAACTGTAGACTCAATAGCAAGACTTCAGCACTATAAGATACAAAAAGCTAAACAAGTTTAACATTTTATATATTTTTGTATAATTACTTGTGTCGCGCTAACTGGAAAACGGTAGCTACACTTAACACAAACATTAATTGCCATATAGCGTCCATTTACATCATCCTGCATATTTATTACTCATGTTACCTAATGTAGCAGCACACAGCACATGTACCCTCCCTGCTTAAACACTTCTTACATAACAAAGTTGAAGTGCTTTTCCTAAGAATGCAGTAATTAGACCATTAATATACGCTCTGCTGCCCAGCTGTGCTTTTTCCTTCCATGACACGGGCCTTTTTCCACACAGTCACCGCTGTCCACTATCTGAAGGCTTCAACTATCAGAGGCTATACTGAGAAGTAGCTACTTATGTCTTGGGTCTCATTAAAGTTGTGCTCCGCTCTCATCAGTGCTGCTTTGAGCTGCTGAAAAAACTCAATAAATCCATGAACTGTCCAGAGCCAATCAGCAGAGAAGTTAGCAGCCAAACAGTTTTGGACTCAGAATCATCAGATTCATCAAGTCACTAGAAACATGACTCCAGATGTTCTGCTGCCTCCAAGGAACCAAAAACAAAAAAGAGAAGTAATAGTGGTTAAAATGACCTAACCAGCCTCACCACTGGGAAATGTGAGGTTTCATTTATAAAGATTGTTGCACATTAACTGTGAGCAGCACCACGACTCATATCACTTTTTTCACTGATGTGAGGGAAATGATACATATTTATGTGTTTACAGTGTAATGTAAAGCATTATGCTGTTAATAATCACTGTGCTAAATGTTCAGAGTCATTCACTCAGTGGGAAGGAGCACCAAAACGAACACACAAATTTCATGAATACTGAATTTTGCTTCTTCTAAATAACGGTTATTTTTACATGCTCAAACTGTTTTCTTCTTTCAGGGCACACAAAGATCGGCTATGCACTTTACTTCTATTCCTACAGCTCCTGGTCAGGCAGAGCCATTTATATGGAGGACCTGTATGTGATGCCTGAGTTCAGAGGTACAGTACAGCCTCTGAGAAAATGTCTCATCATCACTGTGTCCTTATATTTGCAGGAAATCTCAAGTAATGCACGTGATCTGTCTTTCAGGGAAAGGTGTCGGTAAAGCACTAATGAGCAAGGTGGCACAGGTGAGTGAAACATGAATAATGGAGAAGGTAAACCTTGAGCATTTTCCTGTTTTCAATATTTGCAGGAAAATATGCTGAACAGTGTCTCAGAGGCAGCATGCAGAAACAGCTTCCATGCTACATCTACAGCGGTCATTCCTGTCTTCCTTCTTGTTTTTGCTCTCCTGTAGCTGGCTCTGGCTGCTGGTTGCCACCAGCTCAACTTCACCGTCCTGGACTGGAACAAACCATCGATGGACTTTTACCTCAGCCAGGGCAGCTTCGATATCACTGCTTCCATGGGCTACCACTGCATGCGCTGCGAGGGGGAGGCGCTGGAGCACCTGGCTCAACCTTAACCCAACCCTCATGACCTTTCGTGACCTTTGCAGCCATGAGGTCAGCCCACACACTGCAGGGATGGAGCACCACTCAGTGGCCTCTTTCCAAAACTTGACAAGCTGATTTTTATTGACTGTTTGCTAATCCCTGCCTTCCTTAACATTCTAACTTTAAAGCCATTTAGCAATGTGTTGCATATTAACTATAACATTTTTCACCATTTTTATGCAGCAAACGTCACCTACATGTTGGTAACTAGCCTTTACTTTACGGATCACTTAAAGTTGGTAGAAACACACCCCTACCACAGTATAATATTTAAGAGATATAACTTTTAAAATACCTGTCGTTTTAATGGAGAGAGACAGAATACATATCACATAAGAGTTCTAAACTGAATTGCATATTTTCATTGACTGAAATAAGTATTTGATCCCCTACAACCCAGCCAGAATTCTGGCTCCCACAGATTGGCTGTGTGTAGCACACGGATTACAGTCAACCAATGAATTAATGATTCCACATTTCAGTCTCTCCACCACCATGGACAAGAACAAAGATCTGTCAAAGGATGTCAGGAACAAGATTGTAAGCTTGCACAGGAATGGGATGGGCTACAGGACCATCACAAATAGAAGACATAAAAGAACCATCAGTCAGCCTCAGCCTAGATCTCCATGCAAGGTCTTGCCTCATGAGCTGAGGATAATCATGAGACAGGTGGTAGACCAGTGCACTATTAAAGATCTGAAGGCAGTTGGGACCACAGTCACCAAAAACACCATTGCTAACACACTACTCTCTAATGGACTGAAATCTTGCAACACTTGTAAAGTTCTTCTTTTCAAGAAGGCCTGACTTAAGTTTGTCAGCTGAATGATTCAGTGAAAGCTTGGGAGAAAGAAAATCAACTCAACCTGCCATGTTTGGAGGAAGAGAAATGCTGAGTATGACCCAAACACCACCATCCCCACAGTCAAGCACAGAGGTGGAAACATGCTACAGCTAAAAGTACAGGACCACTTCACTGTACCGAGGGGCCGTGAAACCTTGGGCAAGAACTTTGTTCCCTGAGTCAGAACACTGAAATGAGTCATGGATGGGTCTTCCAGCAAAAAACCCCAAAAACCCACCAAGATAAAAATTAGTGACTTCAACCAGTGTTTCCCAACCTTTTGGAGCCACAGCACATATTTCACGTTAAAAAAAGCACACAAAACGCTACCAAACAAAAATGTCACAAAGAGCATATTGATCATTTTCCCCTGCGCACCAGGTATAGTGGAATTGGCTCGTTTGTCCCCAGCATACCTTTTTTCTTTTGACCATGACATAATAGTCATGCTGTGGTCTCACAGCATGACTATGTAATTTCTTCTTTGTCTTCTTCTGCTTTACTGGCAGTTGGCAACCCATTTAATTAGAGCAGGTAGTTGTACTGCCCTCTAGTGGAAGAGAATGTAATTGTTCTGCCCGTTACTCAGGCTGATCGCTTAGAGTACTAATCAGGTGGAACCAGATAATTTTCCACAGCACGCATACCTATGTGCCGTGGCACAGTGGTTGGGAAACACTGGCCTAGACAATCTTCAAGCAGCAGATGGATGTTTAGGTGATATTTTGTCTCTCTCCATTAAAATGAAACTACCATCAAAGAGACTATTACTTTCTTTGGAAGGGAGCAAACTTACAATTCAGCAGGGGATCAAATATTTAGTTCCCCCACCGTATATGAATAACATAAAATTAATTGTCTGATTTACACCAATATTACACATACTTCAGATGATGTTTTGCACAGTTAGTGCCTATAGAATAATGACACAATGCCTGAATTTCACTATAAACTTGTGAAACGTGAGGCTCTCTGGTCTTCTCCGGTACCTGTTGACGAGCACTGGAACAACTCTGTCTCTGCACTGTGGAGAAACTGGACAATCACTATGCCGGGCAGGGATTTAGCCAATGGTCATTTACTTTTATGTTGAAAAGAATATGCAGTGTCAAGTGTTGGAATGGGGAAGAAATGCGTGCAATACATTTAAAAAGTACAATACAGAGACACTGAAGCTGTTTTGTGTTTTCCTCGTGTGACGTGTTAAGAATTGTGTGATAAATGATGAAACATTTAGACAACAGGGTGTGATACATGTGTATGTAGTGACATTTTAGACAACTTGTGACCTAAGGTATAAGATATGATCTGAATTTTGTTGGGGTTTTTTTGCACAAAGATCCTCAAAAATCTTATGCATCGCAACACTAAGACATATGTTCAGTGTACGACTGTTTTAAAGGTTTTTTGTATCTTATCCCTTTAAATTTACTCTAACGACAGCAACCAAAGAGTCAGTCACCTCTGCCTCTCGTCTTCCAGATGAGGAGCGCTGCGAAGCTGTTGTGAAGCACAGCGTTGGTATTTGCACTGTTTTCTTCTTTTTTCTAGCTGTTTATGTGTATTGAGGTCTTGTGATGAGAGTGTACGCTAAAGGAATCAGCTGGACTCAGACTAAAACCTCCATCTTTGCAGCCAGACGTGCGGGACTGGTTTCAAAGACCTGGACGAAGCCTCGAGTCAAACAAAAACAATCCATCTGGTCGTATTTGAAAACTAAGAGAAAATCTTGGACTGGGCTCAGTGCACGTCTCTGAACCTGTCTCGCTAAAATGAAAGCGGCGTAATTCTGGTCTGCACTTCTGTTTTATATTCAGTCTCAATTTTTTTTTCTCAGAGAGGGCTTCTTTCCAGCACTTTAATGAAAACAGGCTGAGCTGGGGGTTATATTTGGTTTGTTTTCTTTCTTTCTAAACAAGAAGAAACCGCTGACCGTTCTTTGTTACTTTTTGCAATTTGCATTTACAAAGTAATTCACTCTGGAATGCATGGTATTTTATTTAATTTAGTTCGTTCGCTATCCATCTTTGGGACATCGAAATATTGCATGTCTAATGTGCAAAATCTGCAGCCTAGCTCAGGTTTGCAAAGTAAATCTTTGTGCTGCTACAAAGTGCATTTCCACAAAAATCCACGCCAAGTCCAAGGGATCACGAGGGGATCATTATGTCTTATCTGCAGCTTCCCATCAGAATTTCAGACCAAGTGCTATAAATTATTCAGTCTCAAACTGTTTTCCCAACATGGATTTCCCAAAGCACTTCAAAATCAAAGTTCAGCCCGTGTTCCTGTCAGTCACGACTGCAGTAAATCTCAGAAGAGACGCTTTGTGCATAAAACAGAGAGCAGCAGCTCACCAGTTTAATCTTTTTTAAGATGTTTCCTCAGTTTTTAGTGTGTTGAATGTGTGTGTGTGATTACAACACTGTGTAATAGCAGAGGAGGCAACCGTGACGCATTCTCATTTCCACGGCTGTGCGGCCGTGTTATCCACTGTACCATAAGAGCTCATATCAGTGTTCCCGGTGAGGTCGGTGTCTTTAATGTCCTCATATTTCCAATGTCGTCTGTGAAATTACCGAAAATAAAAGTTGTGTGGAAACCTTGTGAATTAAGGCTTTTCGGGGCATTTTCGACTTCATCCGCTGAGTTTTTAAAAAAGAGCTTCATGAGGTGCATAAATTCCCTCGGCTCACAGAGGAGCAGTAAATTCCTCAGCTGAAGGCAAAACACTGAAAAGAAAATCACCAAAAATGGATCCATAACTTTTTCATCTGATATTTGAAGCCATGAAATTGCCACAAAAGGTAGATGCTTGAATTTTGGGTCATTTGCTGTGTGTAAAAACAAACAATAAATAAAACACTCAACATGTACGAGAGTCAGTGGTTTCATGCTGTGACTGTCTTGAAAACCAGAAACTGTCCACCTGTTTGTTTGATTAGAGTAATAAAATCTGTCAGAATTCAAGGTGACGTGCATGTGTAGCTGCGCATTTCTTCTTTAGTCTGTTTCTCTTTCTTTTATTAACATCAGACGTATAGATTTAATATTACTACAAAGTAGATGAGCTGTGCTATCCAGAGCTAAAACTTTAATGCAGCTCAATTTAGCCAATAGGGGGCGTACTGACATCACCCATTTTTAAAAATCCCAGTTTGGTGTCATTTTTTCTCCAACTATGCTCAATACATACTATGCAAAAGTCTTGATTTAGTCCTGATTTCTTTGTGTTTTACTTCCGAGCAGCCAGGCTTTGCAGACATTCTTTGAAGTGCTCTTGAGGAATAGTTCTCCAGGCTTTTTGAAGCTCTTTCAATGTTCTTCTTTGGCTGCTTTTTCACTCATTTTCAGTCCAGTCCTTGTATTTGGTCATCATCAGAGAAATGTTTGGTTTGTTTGTTAAGCCACAAGACAAACATATAAATCAGTCAAGACTAAAAAAAAGGCTCTTTAACTCAGGGACTGAAGGGACGAACTACTGCTGTGTCAACACAAAACAGACAACTTAGCAAAGAACCAATTTTAAATTGTACTTTTAGGCACAAAAACACATAATTTGTTCCCATTTCTTTAGCTGAATCTATGAAAAATATCAAGGATAACAAAGTTTGACAGACACAAAATAACATGCCGATTCCCAAAGAGCCATTAGCCAAAAACTTAGCACATCTCTGCACGGTGTGCAGTGTGGCCTTAAAAACAGCTCATGAAAAAGATACAGTTATGAGGTACATTTAGATTTTTATCCACCATGCAATACTGGAAAGCATCTGAGCATGACCCAAACATACTGCCAAAGCAATAAAACACACAGTGGGACACTATCAGCCATGGATTGGCCTCCCCAGAGCCAGACGTCAACATCATAGAAGCAGTGTGGGATCATCTTGACAGAGAACAGAGTTCAGACTGTGTTGAAGAATAAAGATGTTGTAACAAATGTTGACTTTCAAGATCGCTGCAAGCGACCAAACTCTGTCTTTGACTTTTTACACAGTTTTGAATACTTTAGCCTCCACATAAATATACAGACCTCTGCTATATTTAACAGGACATGCACAGATCAAAGTACAAGTACCTGCTGCTAATAAGCCATGAAAAGCTAAAACAGAAAAGTCCACTGGTAGTTATTCAATTCAACTGCCTCAAGGCGCTGCAGCTCACATTGTTCTATTCGCCATGTGAGGACGAGTCACATTTCTGTGGAGTTTTAACCATGAGTAGTGCTAAGCAGGGGTATTTCTCAGTCCCTGTTTGGTGACTCTCCCACGCATCCCATCCACAGTAGCTGTCATAAGGCGGGGTGGACTCTGGACAGTTCATCACATGACTCTGATACATACACTTGTGAAATGGAGACGTTCCATGTTTTTGAATCATATTCAACATTTCATCTTCTTCGATACAGTGCCTGCAAATAAACGTGATATACTAGGATGCAAACAAAAAAATTTATATATTTATCAATAGATGTAACATTTGCATAATCGTCCACAGCGCTTGGCATCTGCTTGCTGAAATGTTAGACCGTCCTTCCGTGCAGTACATTTAAGGGTTTTCTTCCATTCCTGCAAGTGGGCCTTTGCGGATTTGCTGCGTGCTCCTGATCAACATTCACTCTGAATCAATGACTGCAAACTCACCAAAGTTTGAAGCAAGAAATCCCAAATGAAAACATTTCCACCGCTATGCTTTACAGATGGTTCTTCTCCTGAAAAGCCACATTGGGTCCAAACAAGTCTACTGCTCCTGTGGCCAAACAGCTCTGTCTTTCATTGGGCTGCCCAGAGCATGTTATTCCAAAAGTCTCTGTGTTCACCTATATGTTCACTGGAAAACTGTAGATTTATTCTAATCTTTTTGGGCAGGAAGTTATTTTAACCCTAACCCTTCATTTTCACACAAATGTGCACAAGGATGCTCATTCTCACATACGTGTGCGTGCGTTAGACGTTCAGATCGGCAGGTGAGGTGACAGCAGTGCTGTCCAACAAAGGCTGGAAAGAAGAAGAAGACAGTATGTGAGCAATGAAAGGTTTGTTCTTCTTTAAGAAAAGCATCAGCGTGACTCCTCGGGCTACTTTTAAATTCAAGTTTGATTTTAATTTACTGTTTGATATGGTGCCTGCTGTGTGGGGCCTCGTAAAAAGGCACTAGAGCTCTGAAAAGCGCCTCATACCCCTGCTATTTTAATGAACAGCGTCATTTTGTAAATGTGGCTTCAGCAGCGTGCTTGTTTAAAATGATTCAACGCGCTCTTCAGAAAATATTTTAGGAGTTGCAGAGATCTAGTGGTCAGGACACAGTGTCACCACGTGAAATTCTCTGAAGATAAGAACCTCTGTGCTTTGTATAGAAGGAGCTGGTACTCCTGTTTGAACCCACTGTCCTTTTGTTCCCTGGAACGGTTTATCTTTTTTGCTTTTCTTTTTATAAATTCAATTATGAATGAAAACTTTGCTCTCTGGCTCACCTGTTGATGGCACAGTGGAAACCAAACGTGCA